TTAGTGACGATTGGAGGAACTACTGTCAGGGGTCTTCAGTCATGATGAGCTCCCCCCAAAATCATTTCAGAGCGATAATCAACACCACAATATTCAAAACGACTTCCCGTACAATCTAATTTAGCAAACCACAGCCACAATAATAAATACTGTATGCAGCTCAGCGACAGTGTTTTGGATCGGATCTCATTAGAGGGGGCGGGTGTCCCTAATGTTGTGGCCCACTAGCGGCTGCGCTAATGACAAATTCCCTGAACCAGGAAGTGGATTTGTCTTCATTCCTCCCATTCTGTATGAGATTGGAGCGCCGCCTTGGTGTGTGACAAAGTAAACACTTAGGCGTTGAAACGGGCGAGCCGCAGATGATAGACGGGCACCATGCAGGCGCGCTGATATTAAGCCGAAATTAATTACACAAACACAAGAAGATAAGCATATGCGGCGGTAATGAAACGACCCGGTATCAATTAAAAACAGCACAGGAATTTTTTCAAGATAATTTATTTATTTTACCAAACAGCCTTTTACTGACCCAGAAACAAAACTGCGCCTTGGCCTGTTACGGCAAAGTTCTCAGACGGTGTGCGACTTGCATTTTGGATGTGAATTCAGTGCAGTGCAGAGAAACAAAAATGAATCGAAAACGTGCAAAAATGCAAGCGTCAATCAATATAACTATGATGTGATGAAGTGGAATGGCTTTCATTAAAGAGTGCATTTCAGAGCTTCAACAGAATCAATGAAGTGGAAAAAAAAAAGTGTAATTAAAGCCGCTAGCAAGTTTTGAATATCGGCTCACTTCACTCACTCAACGTCCAAAGAAACGCTCCCAGGTCCCTAAATGCGTGTATACGAAACGACACCAAGGCTGCCTGCATCACTTATTCATAAAACAAAATGTTACCGGTTTTAGACAGTTTTAACATACACAGACAAAAGTTGTATATAAAGTTGATTTGGGTTTTTTGGGTTTTTTTTTTTTTTTTTTTTGCATTTTTCACTGCAAATTCCACCTTTAAGTAGTTCACTAGCAAATCGGTTTCCCGACATCCGTGCGTAACAACTGCTCTGTTGTACTTTCTCTCACACGGCACAAACATCATTCGCCAAAGGTGTGGCATATATCAGGTGTATTTGTTGTTGCTTATTTTCTTTCTTTCCTGCACTGAACCGCTTTCAGTGTGTGTGAGGTTAGGGTTCTTGTTGTGCGAGTGGACTGACTCACCCCCATCCCCCACCTCCTGCCTCCCATCCATTAACTTCCTCAGTGTGAGCTTGTAATCATTGTCCAGCTGTGGTGTACTTCCACCACGGGCTAGTTAAGGGAACAAGGCCACACACTGACATCACCAGGCTTTGTGATCCTGCTGTTAGACGCCGCCATGCAATGTAACCGTATACCTCTACCGTGTGTGTGTGTGTGTGTGTGTGTGTGTGTGTGTGTGTGTGTGTGTGTGTGTGTGTGTGTGTGTGTGTGTGCGTCACAAGGTGTTTGCACTTTTTTTTTTGTATTCGCACATGTGTTGTTTTTTTTTTTTGCCTCGCCTGCTGTTTGCATCTCTGCGGCTTTAATTAGTATGCGTTTTTGCATCTAGGTCTTTGTGATTTGGCGCTGCATGCTGGCGAGGCAGAAAAGATACAAAGTGTGTACGTGTGTGTGCGCACGCGTGCGATTCATTCAGCCCAGATGGAGTTAGTTACACAACTCAACTCAACTCAAACCCCCCCGCCGCATCAATGGGTGGCATTTAGAAACACGAGCAAGTCAATTGGCAGTGAATCATGAAGCACACGGCTGAACAGCACATGGCAGGGGCGCGGGGTGGGCGAGTGACTCACGTCGACATTGACCCAAATGAGCACTGTGCCACTGTAATCAGAGGTGGCAAAAGTACTCACACTCTTACTTAAGCACAGGTTGTTAGCCTAATAGTATAAATGCCAACGTCCAATTGTGTGGGCTTTTTGTTTTCCTTGTTTTCCAAAAACGTTCAAATTTGAGTTAGGCATCGATGCTATAAGGCTAACGAGATACGTGTTAAAAAAAATACTCTAGTGAAAGTCGAAGTGCTGATTCATGTCCTTAAGTTAAAAAGTACAGGCACTGAAATGTACGTAAAAAACCTGAAAACTTAAAAGAATAAAGCATAAAACACAAAAGTTCACTTCACATGAAACATTTTCCTGATTTTATTATCCTGCATCGTGACTGCTGAGAAGAACACAAAAATCAAAACAACGTGTTTCCATAGCTATGCTAGCTAAATGCGAATTTAGCGAATTATAAAAAACTGAAAACACTCACCTTACTTGCATGGGTTTATTCAGATTAGAAAGCTCGTTTTGGAACGCCAGAGATAGCACAGATCATGTTTTGGACAAATGTCCTCAAACAAATATTATTACAGTGTTTTCAAATGCAGGGAGTAAAAGTAAAAAAATACTTTGTACAAATCTGACGTGCAGTCACTAAATATTTGGACCACTGCCTGGAATGGACGATGGGCTGAGGCCACCTTCCTACTGAGGGGCTGACTCAGGTTGCGGAGATGTAAAAGTGGTCCTCACTGCGAAATTTGAGCACTGCCAGCATGCAGAGCATCGACTTGACGCGCCGTCAGAGCCGTCTGCTCCTCCGCAACACTTTTGGCAGCGGCGCGCCGACCCGTTTAACAGTCCTCCGACGGCGCGCCCGCTCACAGAGGACTCCATTTCCAAGAAGTTTTGTGAGTTCAGAACCACGGACAGCGTCTCGGCACCGCTCACGCTGGCAGGCGGGCTCCAGAGAACAAATGCTGGCTGTCCTCCAATGAGCAGTGGACTTACAGATTACTGATTTCTTTCTCTATGAAATGAAAAGCAAAAGGTGTGAATGTGGATTATTTGCGAAGCCTTGCGAAATTGATTTGAATCGCCAGTGAACAGCGGCATTAGCCGCGGAGTTAGCGCTTCGCTAGCGAACCACGCTTTGGCTCGCATAAACATTCAGGAAACAGTTGGACAATTAGTTGTGCTTCACGACAAGTCGTGTGAGGCTTTCACGTAAGCAGTTTGGAAATTCTAAATTTTAAAGCTAATCGACGCAATGACCCTGCGTTGAGTATGAGTTGCGTTAGCATGTTAGCTGACTGTCCGCTCCCCTTTGTACACTTTAATATGTCATTTAATCACATGAGCACACCCGGAGGTTTACTTTGACCTTCTCTCTTTGACTTGGTCCTTATATCTGGGGACCATTCAAATGTTAAATGAAATATTATTTCTGGAAGTATGTTTGTAATGGCCCACGGTCATATTAATAACCATTTACCATTGATCTAGGCAGAGCGGAATCAGTTTGCTTATTCAGAGCTAAATGTTGTATTGTCTATTTTAATTTTGCCTATTAAATGTACTTACCAAGATTTTCATGTTTAAAAAAGGAAGAAAAAATGTGGCACCCTGTAAATGAGGCTAATTTGGTATTACTCTCTTTGGCCCGTTTTTTTTTTTTTTTTTTAAATAATATTTAAAACGGGTGTTTTTGAACATGTTTGTGTTGTTTGAGCAGACATGGGTGAGAATGCATAACCGGTCAGTCAATGTATGTCTGTGACCTCAGGTTGGCATTGAGAGGATATATCTGATCTGTGCATTGGAACATTTCCTATACGTAGCAGATTTTTTTTTTTTTTTTTGCCACATTTGGAAAAGGCTTGATAGCCTGTTGGCACATATGCCAACTGTGCCACATGAGTGCGAAAAAATCCATGGGGTGTAAACCCAGCCTAATTCTGTATTTTTATTTTATTATTTTTTTGTCCTCAACCAAGAGAGGCAGTGCAGTGTCAAGGTGCGCAGTGCTGGAGAGACAAAAACTAACTCTCCAAGCATCTCTCCGCAGCCCTTGTTCATGCCTCTCAACTTGGCTCGCCGATTAACCCCGCGTGGCTCCTGGTCCCTGCTGGCTCCACACTGAAGCCCCTCACTTGCTGGCTGACCACCGCGCATGTCAAACAGCAACAAGCAAACACACACACACACACACACACACACACACACACACACACACACACACACACACACCAGAAACAAAAGTGTAGACCGACAATTTGATTTTTCACATCTTCTTGCGTGTTTCTGACACGAGTCGTGCCACGAAGGATGAAGCGCACATCCTCGGATAAACTGTCATATTACTACTGAACACTACTAAGCCTTGGAAAGCCGTTCATCCAATTTCTGTAGCCCTTGTCTACGTTAAGGTCGCATATGCACATTGTTTTGTGCTGGAAGTCTTGTTGCGCCTCTCGTCAAAGAAACGGTCCCAGTTCACTAATGCACGTGCACGGTGTGAAAGCAAATGCGTTGCCAGCATGACTTTTTCATGACCAAGTCTTACCCAAAAACACAAAATTTTACCAGTATGAGGTTGTTGTTGGTTTTTTTTTTTGTTTTTTTTTTGCCACGTCCAATCAGTTAAACTATAAGAGAGGCGATTAACGTACCGATGGGAATGGTCACATCGTCGCCATCGGTTGCCACCCTCGGAGCCGCACCCCACCAACATGACATCGCTTTATGTGAAATCGAGAGCTTTCCACTCAGCTTGCGAAAAGAATCACGTCGCCGTGCCATCCAACATTGTGCTCATAAAATGCTGCCATTAGTCAGCCGGCATCGGCAGCTCACGATTGAGAACAATTGTGTATTAGAAAATGGATGAAGGATGTGTGTGCGCCTTACAACTGGCTGGTGACTAAGTCCAGGGTCGAAGTCAGCTGGGATAGCTTAGCCGCCACAAGCTTTGTGGAAAATAGAAATCCGGAAAGTCTTTGTCCTATGTTCATCTATTTTCACTTCTCAATACTCTTAAGGAGCTCCTTAATGTGTTCCATGGGGATAAAAACCAGGGCGGACAGCTCACCTCATATTTCCAGCGTGGCCCGGTTGTAAAGAGTCTCCTTTAAGAGAATCAAGGTCTGTCGATTTATCAATAATTTTTACTCTCCTCCACCCAGCGCTGAGCCGGTCGATGATGCCCTTTGGCTTGATGCGACGAGAGCTGGCATGCGAAGGCTACCCCATCGAGCTGCGCTGCCCAGGGAGCGACGTCATCATGATCGAGACAGCCAACTACGGGCGCACGGACGATAAGATCTGCGACGCCGACCCCTTCCAGATGGAGAACGTGCAGTGCTACCTGCCCGACGCCGTCAAGATCATGTCACAAAGGTCCATCTGCACGGCGTTCATACACCCTCGCAGGCCTTTTCATTGGGTTCACCTCCACCCTCACCTTCACTTTAAATTGGCATAGAGTAGAAGAAAACATTGTCTTAACTAACAATAATACGATGAAAAAATATATTTGTGGTCGTTTGTGGTGATGTACGACTGCGCGACATCAAACTTTTTCGAATATTTAGGTTGCCTTGGAAGGCAAAGCTAATATGCTAAACATGTTAGCTAATTTTAGATGAACCCTTATGCCTACCGCTCTACTGTATTTTAATGCCGTGCATAATGATGATACGTTGAAGTCTTTCATTTTTTTCTCGGGTGGTACTTGGTGTAAAAAAAAAAAAAAATTGGAATCCACTGACCTAGAATGTCACGTGTCTGCTTTGAGCCGCTTTGATTCCCCTGTGAGTGAATCGCTCAAGTCAGAGTCCTTGTGCAAAAAAACAATGTGAGCGTGCCTCGCTAGGAATGTGTCCATATATATTTTTATTGTTTCAAGTGCCTTTGTAGGGGCTTCTCGCTTAGCATCTGCTTCCTCTGAGCTGGGCTCAGATCAATGCAAACCCTCTCCCCGCTATCCGTCACGCATGTAATAGAGGCGGCAGGGCTTGAGGGTGTGTGAAGGTAAGAGCTCGGAGGAGAGAAATGAGTGGGCAAAAAAAAAGGAGAAAAAGCGCTAAACATGACGGCGAGATGGTGTGAATGCACCAGAGGTTTAAGAGACAATGAGGAAGAAATGCTCCAACACGAGATTATGTGTGTGTGTGAGTGTGTTTCGTGAGAAGGCATGCGACGGTCTGTTTTAAACAGAGGTGTGGTGTGCATGCGAATGGTTTTCCACCCCCCCGTCCACATGCGGCAAGGAGTGTTTGCCTTCGTCCTTCCATGTTCTCTCACCTCTAATTGCTCCCACTCACGATGCCCCACGAGAGGGAGGCTCTGACGTCAGAGCATCCTTCTTCTCCTCGGGTGCAGCTGTCACATGATGTAGTCTAGTGTGAAAGTGCTTCCTTCCCTCCTCGTGTTCCTTTCATCTTTTCAGACTCCTTTCAACTGCTATACCCATTCACGACGCTAGATGGCGCCAGATATCATTGAAGCGAATGCTGAACCTGACTCCCCAGGCCAAAGTGAACCCTGTCACGAAGAAGAAAAAGAAAAAATAGCGGTAAGAAAGAATAGAATAATAATAATTAAATAATAGAAGAGATAACAGAAAATGGAGAAACGTAGCGACAATCTGGAGAAAAGTGGGTCAAAGAGCGGCCAGGTTAACCAGCAGCTGAGGAGAAGTTATGATGTAATTTACATTTCAAAAACCAGAAGCCATTCATTTACGAATGTGATTGCACTTTAGTTTACATATTTAAATGTTCAGATATTAAGATTTGAATGAGGCAATATAACATGCTTTTTCTCTCAAATATATTGTTAGAATCATTTGTTTCAGATGTACTGTAATTATTTTCTGTATAAAAATTAATTTGGTGTTCAAAAAGTCTTTTTTCAAACTTGAGTCTTGAAAAAGAGGGGGTCGTCTTATAATCAGGGCCGTCTTATATTCGGGCCAATACGGTATATACATATAAAAAAATATGGCGGTCCAGTGGTCGACTGGTTAGCGCGTCACAGTGCAGAGCTGCAGGGTTTGATTCCAGCTCCGGCCTTCCTGTGTGGAGTTTGCATGTTCTCCCCGTGCCTGCGTGGCTTTTCTCCGGGTAGTCCGGTTTCCTCCCACATTCCCAAAACGTGCATTGCAGGTCATTGTAACACTCTAAATTCGGTGTGAGTGTGAGCGTAAATGGTTGTTTGTCTATGTGTGCCCTGGGATTGGCTGGCATCCAGTTCAGGGTGTCCCCCGCCTACTGCCCAAAGACAGCTGGAATAGGCTCCAGCATGCCCCCTTGTGAGGATAAGATAAAATGGATGGATGGATGGATATATTCTGACAAAATGTTTGATATCCTTTCTTCTACCGTCTAGGTGTAACAACCGCACTCAATGCGTGGTGGTCGCCGGGTCCGACGTGTTCCCTGACCCCTGCCCCGGGACCTACAAGTACTTGGAGATACAGTACGAGTGCGTCCCCTACAGTGAGTACACTCCCCCCCCCCCCCCCACCCCGCCCCCCTCTCAAACGTTTCCACGAGCATCCCGCTTGAGTATCCCACCCTTGCCGCTCTCGCGTCAACCCTTCAAAGTCCTCATGACGCTCAGACACGCACACGGGGCCATTCTGTGGATTGCGCACACGATCCACAAACAGGCACTCTAAAACATGTTTCTGACTCATTCGAGGGCCCCTGCACTCCCATTGACTTTCCCAGTAATTCTTGGTCGTTCCTCTAAAGTGATTTTTTTTTTTTTAATTCTAAGGTACAATAAAACCTCAAGGTATGATCTAAATTGGTTCAGCGAGCCCGTTTGTAACCGTTACATGAAGTCAAGGTCATGCAACAGGTGTTGATGCCGTCACGTTGTTCTTCTTTAGGCTGGAGTTACATTTCAAGTCCAACCCACTGCCCAATTCCAATACAATTCCTCGATCTGACTTTTTTTTTGTGTTTGTTTTTGCTGTCTATATACATTAACATATCAAGTGACACATTATTCATACAACGTATCTGATATGAAATGACAAAGTGTTTTGTTGCCTTTTGCTGACTCTCTTCTTCTACATTCTGAAAAGTGCTTCGCATTTTGAATTGACCTCCAAACTAATTGAGATGCACCATGACACCCAGTAGATGGCGTGAAGAGTAGGGCTGACTGATTAATCAGCTGGCCGATGTATTCTGCCGATATTGGGTCTTTTTTTTTTTGCCAAATTTTTTTTTTTAAATTACACAATAATGCATTACAACATCAGAGAAAGATAAGGACATTCAAACATTTCCCACCCCCCCCCCAAAAAAAAATCTGCAAAAATATCGGCTGATTGTCGATTTTTCTCACAGATGTCAAGTTGAACAAATAGGACAAAATATTGTAAAACAGTCAAATATACTGCCTGTAATTTATATCTTCACTATGGAAAGTGTTAAGGGACCAAAAAAATGTCTTCATTCGATAGATTATTTTTATTTAATTAATCGGCCAATTAATCGGTTATCAGAATTTTATTCCTCTAAATATTGTAATTGGCATCTGCATTAAAAGAGCAATTTCTGGCCCTATTTCAGAGTTTAGTGCTATTTTCTTGAATGTGGAGCATACATCAAGAGGAAAAAAAAACCCAAACTTTTTCGACCTTATCTTTTGTTGCACCGCTTGATTTTTGTCTTCAAATCCTCTGTCATGCCATTGTAAGCGTACTTTAAACGTCACCGTACTGCTGTGCTCTTGTGCTAATTTTCCAATCAAAACAAGAACTGGAAGGGCGGGCGTGCTGCATGCACGCGGCTCAGCAGGACAGGAGTGCAAACACAAAGACGCCATTACTTAAGGTCGCCATGGCAGTGCCTCACACTCACACTCACACACACACACACACACACACACACACACACACACACACACACACATCCGTTGACCCCCCTATTTTATTTTTTGCACAGATAGGCAAAGGATATACAGTCGAACCTCGTTACAACGTACCTTGGGGGACATAACGAATCTGTACGCTATAGCGGTAGTTCCTTGTAAACATTTCTCATAAAATGGCCGCCAACTGCGATGTACAATACAGTATGAACATTTATAGATGGAAAAACATGAACATGGAAGACGGTATAAAGCCGTTTACGATCTGTTGGCCTCAAAAAGTGCCATGATTTTGTTGCCATTACAGACGATTGTCGAAATTGTTGATTTTGCCATTTCGTAGTCTCAGCTGAGTTTTGTCTGGGAGACAACATGATAGGCTGTCCACTGTAGTGACCGCTGTCCCTGAAAGGGCAAATGGCAAATGGAAAATGTGAAATCGGGACTTTGAAATGTGAAAATTCCAGGGGTGAAAACGCCGTAAACGGGGTACGTTGAAAAGAGGTTTGACTGTACAGGCTTTGTGTGAAGCCTCACTCATGTGAAAATATGCTCACGAGAACACACTCGTAAGTGTTACTCCACTCATCGATTCCTCCACTGTGCAGGATCACCTGACTGCAGGGGGAGGAGCCCTCGGCCCAAATGTGTGGGTGCAAGTGGTGTTAAAGTGATGGGGGGTTATTGGGAATTGGGAGCGGGTTCTCTTTGTTTTTTGTTTTGTCTTTCCCCCCCACCCACCTCAGGTGCCAGTGAAGCATGAGGATGACGCCGCTAACCTGCTTGGCTCTCTTCTACTTCTTCCTCATCACCTCACTCTCAGGTCTCGGCTCTATTTCATTACCGCTCCCCTTCCCTGTTTATCCTCCGTCTGCCCTCTGAGCTCCTCAACACCCCCCCCATCATTCTTCCATTCGAAACCCTCCCTCCTCTGCTGTCTCTTCTGTTTCTTCTTTCCAGGTGAAAAGCATTCCAGCGAGGCTCAAAGAAACTCAGGGAATTCCAAGTGCTTCTCTTAATGCCTGCCCCCTTCCTCTGCTCACTGCTTTCGCACTCTTCAGTTTACCTTGTGAGAGAATGATAAAGTAGAAGACATTTTTCTGGTTGTGTTTTCATGCCTGGGAAGTGTAAATGTCCTCGGCGAGTGTTCCTCTCCAGTGTCCTCCTCCGCCCCTCGCACAGTTCTCCTGTGATGTTACGTAACATATAACGTGAGAAAAGTCGGTTTTATGATTGTTTCCCACCCGGATTGGCTGGCTTTGCTGTTGTTGGGGTACGCTTAAGACAGCTGGAGAATTGGATTAAGTATCTTAAACAAACAAAAAAAAAAAGCACAATGAACTTGAATTTGTTGTTTGTGATGAGATCATTTGACTGTCAGTATTCGGGCTGCGTGTTCATTCAATCTCCAATTTGACTGAAGAGCATCATAGTGTAGGGGAAGGCAATTTTAGTGATCGATCAAATTGAACAGAAAGGTGGCCATTTTGTTTTGAAGTACATATTTGGGCAATTTTCAGGTGTGGTAGTTTGATGAGCTCCTGTTGGGGAATTCAATTAAATGAACCCCAATCAGAAGCAGGGATCCGAGTCAGATGAACAACTGTACATCTCCGCCCTTTTCTAATGTGGGCGGAGCATGGCGCTAAAGGTACTATGGATGATTATTTCGAGTAGTTTTGGAAAGTTTGGAAAAAAATTGGCCCTTGACAGCAATTTCACCGATCAACAGAAACTTCAGTAGACACATCCTATCATAACAGGAGGCACAAAAAACAAAACAAAACCTTTTATTGACCCATGCAAGAAATTGAACAAGTCGGCCATTTTGGTTTGAAGCAGCCATTTTGAGTTAATTCGCAGCTCTTATTTTGAAAAGCTTCTAGTGGGGCCCAAATGATTCCCAATGGGAAGAAGCCCTTTTGGACAAATTTAAGGGCTCATCCCAATCAATCAATCAACGTGGACGTCACGTGACATCAAATTCTGATGATCGTTTTGAGGATTCGCCGTAAAAAACGGGATGCGTGAGCCCTTTCGTCTCCGCTTACAGATTTAATTTATACTGTTATCAGATGAAATCAGCTTAATCCTTGCCTCTAATATGATTTTTTTTTTTTTAAGCTGCGCGGTCGGATGCAAGCTGGATCCTTCCAAAGAGGTCACGGAAACGCGCCTTGCTTTGTTGTACTCGGCTTCTCGTCTTTGTGCATGTTCACCTTGTCCTCTTCCCGCTGGCTGGCTGCTTGTTCTATTGCCGTAAAGCAATCAAGCGGACAATTAAATAGCTGCTGACTTGCATTTTTTTGCTCCTTGCGTTCGGGGTTTGTCGGGGGGGGGGAAGAAGACAAACTTTGTCGATTGAATCTGAAGAACGGCACAGCTTAGAAAATTGGAAGCTGATCCCTCCGTGATGAGAAGTCTGTCTGGAATGAGAAAGAAGAGTCAATTACTCCCGTCCTCTAACTGCCGTAGCAAAAAACAAAAACAAAAAAACAAAGCCGAGCTGACTTGCGCATTCCGGGCCGCTCATCCCAAACACTTCAAGTCGGTCACACGCCACTCAACTCGGCCACTTTTAATTACCAGCGCGAGGGAGGGGCGGCGAGTCGCTCCTTTCCGTTCTGCCTCAGCAGAGATTTGTCAAGATTAATTGAATTTGCTGCTTCTAATCGCTCCGGTAATGCCCCCATCGTTCACTCACCGTCTGGCAAACGCTCGGCCCCCGCGACGTCCTCGCAGGCTTCTTTACAGCTGGCGTCAGGTGGCCCCTCGCCTCATGTGCCGTGTTTACATCCAGCGAGGTTCCCGCTTTGTTTGCGTGAGTCATGTCGCCGAGGTGCCACCAGTCACCTGAAACATGGAAGTGACAGCAGGAAATGATACACACACACACACGCACACACACACACACACACACACACACACACACACACACACACACACACAAACACACACTTCTGACAGGAGATGCTTGTTTGGCTCACGTGGAATCGCCTTGACAACAGCAGCTGTGTCAGCCCAATTACTGAAAACACTCGTTCACCGAAAAATGTTTCTTCAAGCACGCCAACAAACGATTGCGCAGTGTGTTTGACAAATAAACAGACGGATGGGATAAATGTAAAAGCAGTTCAATAATTAGCACGCGGAATCATTTGTTGCATTGTCCATTCGTTTAGTTACACCGGTAGCAAAACTGAACGCGTTCATTTGTTTCATGACTGATGGATCATACAGATTTCATGACGCTTTAATTATTTTGAAAACGTTCTTTTTTTTTTTCTATTAAGCAGCATTCTTATTCATGACATATGTAACGTAACACAACCTTTGATTGTCTTCATTTATGTCGGTTAATTATGCGTTTCATTTGTTGAATCGTCTGTTTCAATTAATGGCGTTCTATGAGATGTATAAACCTGTCATGATTTTCGAATCGTGGTATTTAATTTTTTTACATAGAGAGAGAGAGAGAGAAAGCGAGAGAGAGACAGAGAGACGCTTTAATTCTCTATCCAAGGAAATGAGTGTAGGTGTTTGATTTACTTTTTTTTTTTTTTTTTTATCATATTCAAGTTTGTTTCTGCAACTCTGCTGCAACAAGTCC